TGTTAATTGGAGTACTCTAAAACAAACCTGACCTATCTAGGACATTCAGAAGAAAAGTTATAAGCCCACAAAGGTGTAACTGGACTACTTCTTTAAAGTGACACTGGGCCCAGTGATCTTTAGGACATGGTTTGACCCCCTTAGGAATGTGCTATCATCATGAAACGTTCAGGTGACTTACAACTTAATAGATTCTACCTTCCTGTAACGTTTCAGCCTGATTGGACCTTGTTTTCACACAAATGGACCCAGAATGATGTGAAATTGTGCTTCGTGCAGCAAAATTCTGGGTGCCATTTAAAAACCATAAGTGCTAATGACTCCATTCCTTTTTGGGGTAATAGGGGCTGTTAATTGGAGTACTCTAAAACAAACCTGACTTCTCTAGGACATTCAGAAGAAAAGTTATAAGCCCACAAAGGTGTAACTGGACTACTTCTTTAAAGTGACACCGGTCCCGGTGACTTTTGGGACATGGTTTGACCCCCTTAGGAATCTGCTATCATCATGAAACTCAGGAATCATTTAAAACTCAATAGATTCTACTTATCTGTGACGTTTCAGCTTGATTGAAGCTTTTTTTTTGAGAAATGGACCCGGAATGATGTGAAATTGTGCTTTGTGCGACATAATTCTGGGTGCCATTTAATAACCATTAGTGCTAATGACTCTATTCCTTTTTGGGTTTATAGGGGCTGTTAATTGGAGTAATGTAAAACAAACCTGACCTCTCTAGGGCATTCAGAAGAAAAGTTATAAGCCCACAAATGTGTAACTGGACTACTTCTTTAAAGTGACACCAGGCCCGGTGACCTTTGGGACATGGTTTGACCGCCTTAGGAATGTGCTATCATCATGAAATTTTCATATCACTTACAACTCAATAGATTGTACCTTCCTGTAACGTTTTGGCCTGATTGGACCTTGTTTTCACACAAATGGACCCAGAATGATGTGAAATTGTGCTTCATGCAACATAATTCTGGGTGCCATTTAAAAGCCATAAGTGCTAATGACTCTATTCCTTTTTGGGGTAATAGGGGCTGTTGATTGGAGTACGCTAAAACAAACCTGACCTCTCTGAGACATTCAGAAGCCATGTTATAAGCCCACAAATGTGTGTTTAGAACGCTGTCTTTAAGGAATAAGTGATCCGGTGAACTTTATGACCTAACTTGACCTCCTTAGGAATGTGCTATCATCATGAAACACAGGAATCATTTACAACTCAATAAATTCTACGTTTCTGTGATGTTTCAGCCTGATTGAAGCTTTTTTCTGAGAAATGGACCCGGAATGATGTGAAATTGTGCTTTGTGCGACATAATTCTGGGTGCCATTTAATAACCATAAGTGCTAATGACTCCATTCCTTTTTGGGGTTATAGGGGCTGTTAATTGGAGTACTCTAAAACAAACCTGACCTCTCTAGGACATTCAGAAGAAAAGTTATAAGCTCACAAATGTGTAACTGGACTACTTCTTTAAAGAGCAAGTAACGTCTAAATTAACTTTTTTTTGCTGATGAACTGTATAAATGAGTGTCTAATAGTGTTTTAAATGTGTGTATTCATTATTTTAGTATTTTGGTGCATTTTCTTTAAAAATTAAATATTCAGCCTAAAAACCACAGTAATGCGCCACCTTCAGCTTAAAACACAGAATTTGACACATTTTGAATAAATTTTAGCCAATGGCTAAAGAGTAAGATACTACGTAAACCAGTAGAGTACTACGTAGCAGCTCTTGTGCCAAAGTTATAAAAGCAAGGAGAGTCTCGGCCACGCCTTGTGGCGAGTTGGGAGTTGGATTTGCAAGTGAGTGTCGGACGGTTAGCGGTAGTTCAGCATTAGCATATAGCATTAGCATATTATAGTTTTTAGCATAGCTTTTAGTGTTATAAATACTTATTTAGTGTTAGCTTGGCTGTTAGATATTGTAGTTTAGTTAGTGTTTGGCTTTTAGTGTTACTAGGAAAGTAGTTCGGGTTTAGTGTTCCATATCGTGTTAGTACTTATTTAGTGTCAGCTTGGCTGTTAGATATTGTAGTTTAGTTAGTGTTTAGCTGTTAGTTTTATTAGGAAAATAATTCGGGTTTAGTGTTCCATATAGTGTTAGTATGGTTAAAAGGTGTAGTGTAGTTGGTTGTGGTAGCTCTGTGGGGTTGCACTCCTTTCCACTGGACTTAGAAATTAGGCGCCAGTGGTTGCGCGCAATCGGTGTACAGGATAACAGTCAGCTCCCGCCTGGTGCTGTAGTCTGCAACCAGCATTTTACCCGCGAGTAAATTAAGTAATAACTTGCATTTCTTGAAGGACACTCAGCCAAATATGGCAGCTGCACCATGATGGATCTCAAAAGAAACAAAGTTACTGATATCCAACTTGTACAGGTACAACATTACCTGATGATTCCAATGCATTTCATGGTTAATTATTCACAGATCAATGGAGAATTATGTTTATTTTCAGAGCAATGAAGTTGGAAATAGTGTGCGAATGGAGAAGGAGGGATTTGTGAGAAGTCTGAGCACACTTTTGGAGAGGGGGGTCGATGTGCAGCAAGTCGTGACTGACCGCCACACAGGAGTGCAGAAGTATTTGCGGGAGGAAAAAAAGGAAATCAGTCACTACTTTGACCCCTGGCACATGGGAAAAGGTAATCTTTGTGGATGTATATAGTGAATATTACAGGATTTTTTTTTTCTATTTTAAATGTGGGTCTGTTTGGCTCTCCAGGAATTGGTAAGAAAATCGAAGAGCTGGGGAAGAGAAAGACGACCCAGGATGTGAGACTGTGGAAGCAAAGTGTGGTGAACCACCTCTACTGGTCAGCATCCAGTTCCTCCTCAGGACAGGAGGCAGTAGCAAAGTGGACTTCAGTTGCCAACCACATCCAAAATGTGCACAGCCATGACAACGCCCTGTTCCCTAGCTGTCTGCATGCACCTCTGGATGGAGAACAGGCAAGACAGTGGCTCAAACCAAGTAAGTGTAGCATGTACTCATTACAGCTGAGCCTTTACTGTTTGGTTTCTTTACATTTAAAACACGTCACCCCACAACAGAATATTTGTCTTCACCTCCTTCAACATGGAGAAATATTTTTGGAGCATGAGAGTTACAGACGTCACATGTGGCTGCTAAGGTCACACACCACCATTTGGCCAACAGCAATTAATTACTAAGAATAAAATGCTGTGCAGAAATTTAAACAGAAGAGTGCGCCACACAACTCATGGTTTTAGGCAGAACAGCCATAATTGACATAATATGTACTAAAATGCCGTAAGTAATTACCACACCTGTCTACAGCACTATTAGTCACTCTTTCATACATTTGTCATCTAAAAATGTCAGCTATGGGTAACTTTTTCTCAATGAAATAATAGCAACATTCTAAAGTTGATCAAATTGTAATTTTTGTAATTAACATTTTCTACGTAGGCACAGCATCATGTGAGAAGCTCACTGCCATTCTGTTAGCTCCACGGTTTGTGAAGGACGTAGAGAAGATAAGCCCTCAGTACCACACATCCACCTTGGAGGCTTTCCACAGTCTCATCATCAGATTTACTCCAAAAAGTCAGGTCTTCTCCTTCAAAGGAATGCTGTCTAGGTAATGAATACAACAAATGTTCAAATTAATGCCTCTAATTGTTCAAATTTTAGAATGAAATGTAGAATTTTGCCTAAAATCTACATGGTTTGTTTATTTGATTATTTCAGATTACAAATTGCTGCAATGCACTATAATGAAAATGCAGCACGCTCACATGCAGCAACAGCAACTGGTGAGCTGAGATATGCTGTAGTGTACCCAAAGTACAAACATGGAGACTACACAGTGAGAGCCCTGAAGACCAATCCAACCTCATGTATGTCATATATTGTATGATAAAACCAAAATGATGTCATGGAGAGCTATTGTAATACTGAAAACCCTTTTCCAGTATATGTGCACAAGCTTATAGATCTGCTGTTCGACTCTGTGGTGGTGGATCCTCTCCCATATCAGGAGTACTCGGACAAAATTCCGGTTCCAGAACCGCTCTGTGCCCAGTTCCAAAGACCAGATAAACGGGATGCTGTGAGCAGGCACAGGTCCAGGTTTTAAAGTGCACGTAAGGTGAGCTACACAACAAGAGATTGTAATTATTAGTTAGTACTCTACTCTGTGTGGTTTTTCCTTTTCTCCTCCTCAGCCAGGCTGCACACCACTGTACGACAGAGGAGTTACCTGTCGTCATTATGGATCTTTATGCTCATCCACTCGTGACTCATGCTGTCCACCTCCCAGATGTCTATTGATCTCTACAACCTTTCTGCTCTGTGGCTCCCATACAACTTGAAAATCTTGGCCGTATGTAACATAACAAAACTCACCAGTCTTGCTTTTGTAAGTCATACTAGTCATACTAATATTACTTTTTTCCTCAGAGCCTCCTGATATTGTTACAGAAAAGCCTGTGCTCCCGGGATCCATCTCCACGTTTGTCATCACAGTGAAAGCTACCTCCAGTCTAAGGAACCAAAGAAACATCACTGATGGCCCAACCTATCCTCACATGGCTCCAGAATCTCTGCTTGTGGTTTAGAGTTTTGTCAAAAATCATGAAAGTTATGATCAGATTGTAATCTAACGTTGTCTTAGTAGTAGCTATAATAAATGTTATCTTTAAAGCGCAATTGTGTCATTTTAAATACAATTATATTGATATTTTGATTTGTATAAATGCATATATCACATTTATTAAATTATCATTCATTTTTACCTAATTGAACCTGCTCTAGATTAGACTTCATTAATCACACAGGGTGTAAACTCACTTGTTACAGCAGCATTAATTAACCCCGAATTAGAACCTTACTGTTGTAAGAGCTCATTTGAAAAGTGTGTGGCTATATGTGTGTATTTATAAATAATGTCAAAGTGTAAAGAAGTGCATTTACCGTTTTGTGATTTATGCAGCTTTTTATGGACAGGAATCAATACAGGAAATATATATTATAACATTTATTTAATCCAAAAAATATATATTAGTTCAGAGGAGGGAGGAATCCTTTGTATGCACCGTCTTCTGGGAACTCCTGCCTTATTCTGGAGACAGCGCATGACTGGATCACAACACGAACGTGCTGTCCCAGGTAACCCCAACACCACCTGACCACATTCCGGTACGCCAGATGTCTGTAACAGCTGAGAAAGAGGTGGTATGAGTTATAAAGTATTCATAAAAAAATTATTTTGACAGTTGTCTTACCTGTTGAGCGTAGTCTCCTGCATCTCCCCATAGAGTTGCAGAAAGGTGCCATAAACTGCCTGCAACACGTAGGGATTCAGAGCAACAGCCTCAAAACCAGGATGCTCTGTTATGCAGGAGGTTACACCCACCTGCTGACACCTGAGCATTACCTATGACAAAGAACAACTGATATCAGGGCTATAAGAGTTCAATATTAGTATGATGTTAGTGATTGTGTAACAAATGTGTACATTACAGAATGCTTTTCTCATGGTGGGGTACTTTTATTTTTATACCTTGGGCGTTTCTCTGCAGCACACATTTTCTCTGGCAGACAATGATGTGCAGTGGCCAAAGGTGCACCTGTTGAGGCAGTCATACAAAATTACTTTTAGCTAAGCTAAATATAGCTAGCTGTGGCTAAAAGCTACTTACCACTCAGAGACTGGACCCATTATATGCCTTCATACTCCTGCTGGCTCGACTCCAGGGGCCTCTGACAACTCACGAGCTAGTGGCTCAAAAAGATACGGTTCAGGACCGCTTGCTTCCCCCAATAAGCCCTCCTCCCTATCCTCTGGGGAAGAAGGTGGGGAAAAGTCCTCCACCTCGAATGACTGCTCTGAGCTACTGTCGCTCTCCGTCGCCATCTTTATTCAAATTTCAGTATGTCAATCACGGTCGTAGCTCCGCCTTCTCGGTCTTACAGGAAACGCCTCTTTGGGCCGCATTTTTCAAATATGAAATGTGGGTGGAGTAAGACTCTGACAGGGGATTACCACTACTTTAAAGTGAAACCAGGCCCGGTGACTTTTGGGACATGGTTTAACCCCCCTTAGGAATGAGCTATCATCGTGAAACATTCAGATCACTTACAACTCAATAGATTCTACCTTCCTGTAATGTTTCGGCCTGATTGGACCTTGTTTTCACACAAATGGACCCAGAATGATGTGAAATTGTGCTTCATGCAACATAATTCTGGGTGCCATTTAAAAGCCATAAGTGCTAATGACTCCATTCCTTTTTGGGGTAATAGGGGCTGTTGACTGGAGTACCCTAAAACAAACCTAACCTCTCTGAGACATTCAAAAGCCAATTTATAAGCCCACTAAGGTGTGTTTAGAACGCTGTCTTTAAGGAATAAGTGATCCGGTGAACTTTATGACCTAACTTGACCTCCTTAGGAATGTGCTATCATCATGAAACACAGGAATCATTTACAACTCAATAAATTCTACGTTTCTGTGATGTTTCAGCCTGATTGAAGCTTTTTTCTGAGAAATGGACCCGGAATGATGTGAAATTGTGTTTTGTGCGACATAATTCTGGGTGCAATTTAATAACCATAAGTGCTAATGACTCCATTCCTTTTTGGGGTAATTGGGGCTGTTAATTGGAGTACTCTAAAATAAACCTGACCTCTCTAGGACATTCAGAAGAAAAGTTATAAGCCCACAAAGGTGTAACTGGACTACTTCTTTAAAGTGACACCGGGCCCAGTGACCTTTGGGACATGGTTTGACCCCCTTAGGAATGAGCTATCATCGTGAAACATTCAGATAACTTACAACTCAATAGATTCTATCTTCCCGTAACGTTTCGGCCTGATTGGACCTTGTTTTCACACAAATGGACCCAGAATGATGTGAAATTGTGCTTCATGCAACATAATTCTGGGTGCCATTTAAAAGCCATAAGTGCTAATGACTCTATTCCTTTTTTGGGGTAATAGGGGCTGTTGATTGGAGTACGCTAAAACAAACCTGACCTCTCTGAGACATTCAGAAGCCATGTTATAAGCCCACAAAGGTGTGTTTAGAACGCTGTCTTTAAGGAATAAGTGATCCGGTGAACTTTATGACCTAACTTGACCTCCTTAGGAATGTGCTATAATCATGAAACACAGGAATAATTTACAACTCAATAGATTTTACGTTTCTGTGACGTTTCAGCCTGATTGAAGCTTTTTTCTGAGAAATGGACCCGAAATGATGTGAAATTGTGCTTTGTGCGACATAATTCTGGGTGCAACTTAATAACCATAAGTGCTAATGACTCCATTCCTTTTTGGGGTTATAGGGGCTGTTAATTGGAAAACTCTAAAACAAACCTGACCTATCTAGGATATTCAGAAGAAAAGTTATAAGCCCACAAAGGTGTAACTGGACTACTTCTTTAAAGTGACACCAGGCCCCGTGACCTTTAGGACATGGTTTGACCCCCTTAGGAATGTGCTATCATCATGAAACGTTCAGGTGACTTACAACTTTATAGATTCTACCTTCCTGTAACGTTTCAGCCTGATTGGACCTTGTTTTCACACAAATGGACCTTGAATGATGTGAAATTGTGCTTCGTGCAGCAAAATTCTGGGTGCGATTTAAAAGCCATAAGTGCTAGTGACACTATTCCTTTTTGGGGTAATAGGGGCTGTTGATTGGAGTACCCTAAACTAAACCTGACCTCTCTGAGACATTCAGAAGCCATGTTATAAGCCCACAAAGGTGTGTTTAGAACGCTGTCTTTAAGGAATAAGTGATCCGGTGAAATTTATGACCTAACTTGACCTCCTTAGGAATGTGCTATCATCATGAAACACAGGAATCATTTACAACTCAATAGATTTTACGTTTCTGTGACGTTTCAGCCTGATTGAAGCTTTTTTCTGAGAAATGGACCCGGAATGATGTGAAATTGTGCTTTGTGCGACATAATTCTGGGTGCAACTTAACAACCATAAGTGCTAATGACTCCATTCCTTTTTGGGGTTATAGGGGCTGTTAATTGGAGTACTCTAAAACAAACCTGACCTATCTAGGACATTCAGAAGAAAAGTTATAAGTCCACAAATGTGTAACTGGACTACTTCTTTAAAGTGACACCAGGCCCGGTGACCTTTAGGACATGGTTTGACCCCCTTAGGAATGTGCTATCATCATGAAACGTTCAGGTGACTTACAACTTAATAGATTCTACCTTCCTGTAACGTTTCAGCCTGATTGGACCTTGTTTTCACACAAATGGACCCAGAATGATGTGAAATTGTGCTTCGTGCAGCAAAATTCTGGGTGCCAATTAAAAACCATAAGTGCTAATGACTCCATTCCTTTTTGGGGTAATAGGGGCTGTTAATTGGAGTACTCTAAAACAAACCTGACTTCTCTAGGACATTCAGAAGAAAAGTTATAAGCCCACAAAGGTGTAACTGGACTACTTCTTTAAAGTGACACCAGTCACGGTGACCTTTGGGACATGGTTTGACCCCCTTAGGAATGTGCTATCATCATGAAACTCAGGAATCATTTAAAACTCAATAGATTCTACTTTTCTGTGACGTTTCAGCCTGATTGAACCTTTTTTTTTTTTGAGAAATGGACCCGGAATGATGTGAAATTGTGCTTTGTGCGACATAATTCTGGGTGCCATTTAATAACCATAAGTGCTAATGACTCCATTCCTTTTTGGGTTTATAGGGGCTGTTGATTGGAGTACCCTAAAACAAACCTGACCTCTCTGAGACATTCAGAAGCCAAGTTATAAGCCCACAAAGGTGTGTTTAGAACGTTGTCTTTAAGGAATAAGTTATCAGGTGAACTTTATGACCTAACTTGACCTCCTTAGGAATGTGCTATCATCATGAAACACAGGAATCATTTACAACTCAATAGATTTTACGTTTCTGTGATGTTTCAGTCTGATTGAAGCTTTTTTCTGAGAAATGGACCCGGAATTATGTGAAATTGTGCTTTGTGCGACATAATTCTGGGTGCAATTTAATAACCATAAGTGCTAATGACTCCATTCCTTTTTGGGGTTTTAGGGGCTGTTAAGTGGAGTACTCTAAACTAAACCTGACCTCTCTAGGACATTCAGAAGAAAAGTTATAAGCCCACAAAGGTGTAACTGGACTACTTCTTTAAATTGACACCAGGCCCCGTAACCTTTAGGACATGGTTTGACCCCCTTAGGAATGTGCTATCATCATGAAACATTCAGGTGACTTACAACTTAATAGATTCTACCTTCCTGTAACATTTCAGAGATATTGGAACTTGTTTTCACACAAATGGACCCAGAATGATGTGAAATTGTGCTTCGTGCAGCATAATTCTGGGTGCCATTTAAAAACCATAAGGTCTAATGACTCCATTCCTTTTTGGGGTAATAGGGGCTGTTAATTGGAGTACTTTAAAACAAACCTGACTTCTCTAGGACATTCAGAAGAAAAGTTATAAGCCCACAAATGTGTAACTGGACTACTTCTTTAAAGTGACACCAGGCCTGGTGACTTTTGGGACATGGTTTGACCCCCCTAGGAATGAGCTATCATCGTGAAACATTCAGATCACTTACAACTCAATAGATTCTACCTTCCTGTAACGTTTCGGCCTGATTGGACCTTGTTTTCACACAAATGGACCCAGAATGATGTGAAATTGTGCTTCATGCAACATAATTCTGGGTGCCATTTAAAAGCCATAAGTGCTAATGACTCCATTCCTTTTTGGGGTAATAGGGGCTGTTGATTGGAGTACCCTAAAACAAACCTGACCTCTCTGAGACATTCAGAAGCCAGGTTGTAAGCCCAAAAAGGTGTGTTTAGAACGCTGTCTTTAAGGAATAAGTGATCTGGTGAACTTTATGACCTAACTTTACCTCCTTAGGAATGTGCTATCATCATGAAACACAGGAATCATTTACAACTCAATAGATTTTACGTTTCTGTGACGTTTCAGCCTGATTGAAGCTTTTTTCTGAGAAATGGACCCGGAATGATGTGAAATTGTGCTTTGTGCGACATAATTCTGGGTGCAACTTAACAACCATAAGTGCTAATGACTCCATTCCTTTTTGGGGTTATAGGGGCTGTTAATTGGAGTACTCTAAAACAAACCTGACCTATCTAGGACATTCAGAAGAAAAGTTATAAGTCCACAAATGTGTAACTGGACTACTTCTTTAAAGTGACACCAGGCCCGGTGACCTTTAGGACATGGTTTGACCCCCTTAGGAATGTGCTATCATCATGAAACGTTCAGGTGACTTACAACTTAATAGATTCTACCTTTCTGTAACGTTTCAGCCTGATTGGACCTTGTTTTCACACAAATGGACCCAGAATGATGTGAAATTGTGCTTCGTGCAGCAAAATTCTGGGTGCCAATTAAAAACCATAAGTGCTAATGACTCCATTCCTTTTTGGGGTAATAGGGGCTGTTAATTGGAGTACTCTAAAACAAACCTGACTTCTCTAGGACATTCAGAAGAAAAGTTATAAGCCCACAAAGGTGTAACTGGACTACTTCTTTAAAGTGACACCAGTCACGGTGGCCTTTGGGACATGGTTTGACCCCCTTAGGAATGTGCTATCATCATGAAACTCAGGAATCATTTAAAACTCAATAGATTCTACTTTTCTGTGACGTTTCAGCCTGATTGAACCTTTTTTTTTTGAGAAATGGACCCGGAATGATGTGAAATTGTGCTTTGTGCGACATAATTCTGGGTGCCATTTAATAACCATAAGTGCTAATGACTCCATTCCTTTTTGGGTTTATAGGGGCTGTTGATTGGAGTACCCTAAAACAAACCTGACCTCTCTGAGACATTCAGAAGCCAAGTTATAAGCCCACAAAGGTGTGTTTAGAACGTTGTCTTTAAGGAATAAGTTATCAGGTGAACTTTATGACCTAACTTGACCTCCTTAGGAATGTGCTATCATCATGAAACACAGGAATCATTTACAACTCAATAGATTTTACGTTTCTGTGATGTTTCAGTCTGATTGAAGCTTTTTTCT